TATATTGAATAGATATGGGGAGAATGGAAATTCTTGTGTTGTTCCTGATTTTAGTGGGATTCCTTTAAGTTTTTTTCCATTAATTTGATATTGCCTGCATTATGTTTAGGTATGTTTCTTGTATCCATGATTTGTCCAAGTCTTATCAAGGGCTGCTGGACTTTGTCAAAGGCTTTTTCCTCATCTAATTAGAAAATCATGTGATGTTTTTCTTTCAGTTTGTTTATGGAGTGGATTAAATCGACAGATTTTCATATGTTGAAACATCTTTACATCTCTAGAACGAGTTCTACTTCACGGTGGATATTTTTTATGTATTCTTTGGTTCAGTTTGTCAGTATTTTATTGAGTATTTTTGCATCTATGTTCATGAGGGGAACTGGTCTGTAATTCTCTTTCCTTGTTGAGTCTTTTGTGTGGTTTGAGTATCAGGATGACTAGCTTCATACAATGAATTTAGCAATGTTCCTTCTGTCTCTATTTCATAGAATAACTTGAGGAATATTTGCATTAGCTCTTTTTTGAAAGTCTGGCAGAATTCGTAGTAAAACCATCTGACCATGGGCTTCTTTTTTGGTTGGGAGACGTTAAATGACTGCTTCCATTTCCTTGGGGGGGCGTAGGTCTATTTAAATGGTTCATCTCATCTTGATTTAACTTTGTTAAGTAGTATATATCAAGAAAAATTGTTCATTTCTTTTAGATGTTTCCAGTTTTGTGGAGTACGGGCTTTTTATAACCTAATGATTCTTTGGATTTTCTCGGTATGTATTGAACTGCTTCTTGTTAATATCTTTTGGTGGCATACAATCTGTAACTAGGAGTGGGATGGATAGGTCAGCTGTAGTGAGTCCTGCCAACAAGACTTCCAAAAATGGTTGTATACCAATTTTCATTTTCAACAGAACCTTGATGAAAACTTCACTAAGTAATTCTTACTAAGAATCTAACATTTAAAAATATTTCTGTAGATTCAGTAATGCCCCTTTTGAGACAGTATCTTACTATGCTGCCCAAATTGGCCTCCAACTCATGATCCTCCTGCCTCAGCCTCCTGAGTAGCTGGGATTAGAGATATGTACCAACACACAGAAGAGCTATTCCTCAATTGTAAGTCACTAAATTATTTGGCTACATTGTGTGAAATACATCAGTGAGCAAACAAACTGTCATGCCAGCTGTAGCATGTGCTTACACAAAGCTAGGCAGGATAGCACACCACACACTTAGTGCACATTATTGAATGAGCTGCACCTGTGCATGGATGGTAGCACAGTAGGTTTATTTATGCCTTCATCACCACAAACATGTAACACTTGTGCTATGATACGACACAAAATAGCAAGTACATAGCCTTTTCATATTGACTTCTTTCAACTAGTAATAAACACTAGTCTTTGCATAGCTCACTTTAATTGTGATAATTTAATTACTTTTTTGAGAATTTCACACAATGCATTTTTGCCATAGTCACCTCCTCTCCCATCTCCTCCCATATCCACCCTCTCCATCCTCAACTTTCTACACACACAACATCTTAAAATAAACAAACAATAACAACCCCCACTCTAATTTGGGTTGCACAATTACTCTCAGGAATGGGGTCTGTCCTAGAGCATGGTTTTATGAGTCATTATACTTTCTATATTGTCAGATAAGCTATGACCCAAATTCCTAGGAGGCATCCAAAAGACTGAAAATAAGAAATCTGTGATCCTGTGCCTAATAGTACATCTAACTAGGAACAGTTATATGGATCTTTTGTCAGAAGGATTTTTGTATTAAGCCATTGATGTGTGGTTTCCTGGATATGCTAGTTTATTTTAAAGGTTACAAATTCTTTGATAACGCTTTGGAATGTAGGAATTATGTCCCCTTTCCTATGATCTGGGCAGGACTAATATCTGATTTGCAAGCAGAAGAAGATGAGAGAAGTGACAGTCATGTTTTGAAGATAGGACAAAGTAGATATGCCATTTCAGCCTTCTTGGAAGCATTCCATTTGGAATGTGTCCTGGTTGCATTTTGTGAGCTTGACACAAACTAGTGTCATTTGGAAAGATGAAACCTCAACTGAGAAAATGCCTCAATCAGATTGTCTGTAGGCAAGTATGCACTTTCTTGATTAATGCTTGATGTGTGTGGGTCCATGCTGTGAGGAGGAACAAAGGGGCATTGCCACCCCTAAGCAGGTAGGTGGTCCTGGGTTGTATAAAAAAGCAGGCTGAGTTAGCAATGGGGAGTGGGGAGCAAGCTAGGAAGCAGCACTCCTCCATGACTTGTTTTAGTTCCTGCCTTGACTTCCTTCAATGGAGTATGACATGGAATGTAAGCCAAATAAAGGCTTTCCTCCCCAAGTTGTTTTTGGTCACAGTTTTAGTGCAGCAATAGAAACTCCCAGCATAAGCTACTAAGTCTGCTACTCTCATGCTCACTGTGAGAAGTCCAGGCCACAGAGTGAGTTTATCAATAGTTCTAACAATATGCCCAGTCTTTCCAGTCAAGTTACAAGAGAAAATCCAACTTACTATGCAATAGACCACCCGGTTGTTTTCAATGACTGTACTGTACTATACCCTGGAGTAATTTATTACACAGACAGAGCAACCTAGAACACTGGTAGTTAACCCTTGCCTTTGCATCCATACAACTGAACAGCTATGATAAAACCGAGTTACATTTAAAAAGAAAATGCTTGTGAACTTTTTATCCCTGGCTTAGAAATTTTGTCATTGCTTTCTCCACCCAGAATGTTGCACCCCCCAACCACACCCGCCTCAAATCCGTGCCTGTGTTCCCTTTCTGCTGATGCTAATGTCCTCTAGTACCTCACCCCAAAAGAGCAGCCTAAAGGAAAGAAAATGGTTGTTGTAAGACTCCCCTCCAACTCCCTTTAAACTCTACTAAAACATGAGCTCCCACTCATGGCCAGGCAACTCCTTTTAACTGCTGTAAAAGGTCCCTACTCCCACTTATGTGTGTGATTCTGAGAATTCATCTGTTGACCACTGTTCTATTAGAACTTTTGTATCAATTCTAGTAAGTGTAAGCATTTGGAAAGATAGGATGGGATGGACAGGTATGGATTATGGCACTCAGGAGCCAAAGAATACTAAACGTTACAGCTCAGATGGAAAGTATTCTGGCACTTGGGAGTCATAGAACACTGAGTGTTACAGCTTGGATGGAAAGATATCCTGGCACTCAGGAGCCAAGGAATGCCACAGGTCACAGAAGCATAGAAGCTTACAGCCTTGCTTCAGGGAAAGGCTTCTTCCCCAGTGTATCAGCTCTGCTCTGGCAGGAGAGGGTTTCCCCAGCTTGGAAGGTTTTCCCAGTGTATCAGCTCTGTTCCTGCAGGAAAGAGCGAAGGTGTTACAGTTCAGCTCTGTTCCCTGGGAGAGTGGAGAGAGGAGTGTAACAACTACTCTGCCAGGGGAAGGGAAAGTGTTACAGCCCTGCTCTGCTCTGCTCTGCTCAGGGCTGTCTCTGCTCCACTCCAAAAGAAGGTCTTGTCCAAACCTTATTCAAGAGATTTATTGGGAGAGAAGAACCAGGAGAGTGGCTGCCCTCTGCCAAGGTGGCAGAAGACAGCAGGGCAGCCTGAACAGCCAGAACCTGAACAGGCACAGGGTTTATATAGGCATTCTTAGGGGCGAGATTTTCCAGGGTGGGGATTGGTCCAATTTCAATCCCCCTGTTTAGGATGGTTAGAGCTCCTACTCAAGGATTGGTTAGTTTTCTGCACAGGGTTAGGGTCAGATTTGGCTCTGGTTTCAGGGCCAAAGTGTGTTCTTTCACTGGTCCTTTTTAGCCTTTTGGCTCTAGTTTTAGGGCCAGGGTGTATTTCTTTCACTGGCTCTGATTCCAGGGACAAAGTGTGTTTCTTTGGCACTGGTTTCAGGATCAGGGTGCATTTCTTTGGTTCTTGTTGCAGGGACAAAGTGTGTTTCTTTGACTCTGCTCAGGGTGTGTTTCTTTGGCTGGCCCTTTTCCCTACAGTAAGAACCAGTACACTGGCCTTGTAACTCATGAATCCACACAAGGCTCTATTCTTTTTTTCGCATTTTCTCATTTTTCATAATTTACCACTCACTAAATAAATAGCTTGATATGATAGCTTTGTTTTATTTTAACAACCACTTTTTTAGGTTTCTTTGGGGTGGGACATAGAAAGATAATTTAATGTTATCCATATATGTTCAACTTCAATGCGGAAAAGGTACAGTAGGTGCCAACTCCACGTGTTTTAAGCAAAGCAAATAACGTGCAAACTGTTTTCCTAAGAAGTGTACCGGGCATTAAATACTTGATACTGCCACATAAAGCTACAAGTCTGAGTTCTGTTAAATACAGTATTTAGGGGAGGTAAAGCGGAGTGTTCTGAGGAGTTAGTATTTTCTCACCATGTCGGGTCAACTACTCTCGAAAGTGCTTTTCCGGAACTCGTTCCCAGTTCCGTGGCATGGCCACGGCGGCAGACAGCACAGCCGGAAACCAACGATCCCTACTGGAAAGTTCACTGAGAGAGCAAAGGCGGGACTTCCCGTCCAACAAGCTCCACCGGACTCTCCCTTCTAGCATGCGTAGCGTTTAGCGTCACCGTGGCCCTGGCAACCCCTCGGCCCCGCCCTCCGGTGTCCTGCAGAAAGCGGTCCGGGCAGGGCGCGCGGAGCAGAGGCGGTGTGGACCGCGAGTTCGGCGTGGAGCAGGTTCGCCTTCCTTCGGGTAGGGTGGCTGGGGCCGGGGAGCCCACGGGCCCCACGGAGGTTGTACTGCGGGCGAGCGCCGCTTGTGTCGTGTCTGTGGGGACAGCTTCGAATGGTTTGAGGCCTAAATGACTATTTAGGAGGCTTCCCACCTGGGGGAAGCTCAGTCCTGGAACAACCTGTGAGCGCCATTCTGTAATTCAGGCTTTGGAGTGGTCTGAGGGTGGTCACAGAAAGAGGACCACAGGGGTGTGTATGCTTTACCATCAGCCAATAAGCAGAGTCGTTTCTTGTATCTGTTTCTTGGGAATGTGAGACAAGTATATTGACACTTTGCATTGCTAGGGTTATGAATAGAGATGCCTAACATTGCAGCATTTCAGGACTCTATGATTGGACTCCAAATTAAAAGTTTACAAGACACATTGCCTGATATATAGGCTGTTCTGTGGAAGAGGCTTCTAGTCCTATGTTAAAAAATGGCGGTATCTTGGACTTAAAAAAAAGAGGGGGGTATTGTACCTGTACAAATTATGTGACCAGTTCTTAGTACTTCACAAACAAATATTGGAAACGGTGTTGTCTGATCCTGAATTCGTCCACAATTCAAGGCAGAAGAACTTTAAAGACTGCACCCTTAGGAGGCAAACCAGCTGACTGTAATGGAGGAGGTAGCCTTCCCCTCTACTTTGAAGAAAATAAAGTCATCAGGCTGCCTTTTGTGCCTGTCTTTGTAGAGCCCCTGAGTTGAGAAGTGAGATTCCTGGATGCCTTTTACAAAATGGTTTTAATTTCGTTGACAAGTATTTGGATCTATCTAAAAGTATGAACAAAAATCAAGAATAGGTGAATCGTAAAGAATTCTACTCTTGCCAGAAGGAAACCGTCACTGAAAAGTGCCTCTAAATGAACACATTTCTCCATATCAAATATATGGACCCAGCAATAAATACTCAGAAATGTAAGATTTGTCTTTGCTCGTGTGGACTAATAAGGAACTGAATCTGACTTTGAGCCTAAATATAAATGTTATGTGCAAAGTAGATAGGATGAAACTGCATGAGTATAATTAATTTTGGAGAAATTGAGTGGAAGGAGGAGTTATAAATTATTTTTTCAGCCAGTTGCAAAATGAATAAACTATAAGTCTTTCCAATCCCCCACAACTCCATTCTCATCTCTCTTCACATATTTAAGTATACAGTCATACCCGTGTCCTTTATTTCATTAATTGTCTTTATTCACACATGCATATACATAATCTGCATAGAAAATATTAAGTGGGAAACCTCTTATATTGTTTTATATTTACTAAAGAATCTGAAGGTTATATACTCTGAAAAGTTTAGAAGACTTAAGATCATATAATTCACAATGGGATATTTTACAAATATAATTGTCAGTAGCTGTCTTCGCACTAGCAGATGTGTTATGGTTGCTGATATATTCAAGTTGGAGAGCAATATATCTTGTAGAACACATCTATGTTAGGAAGAAAGGAAGAAAGGTTTTTTTTTTTTTTTGTCTACTCTCACTCCATAGTCATCAGGAATACTTGTGATCTCAAAAGGTGTGAGGATTTAACCCCAGCAGTAATTCTATGGTGGACACCAGTCCTCAAATTCAGCACTGACTCTAATGGAGACAGTGTCAGAATCCACAGGCTGACAGTTCAGTCAGTCACAAGCTGGACCTTCAGACTTTCCTTTTAACTAGCTGCAGACTTGAGATTCTTTCAGATGCATTTGATTGCTCATGTGGCCCACAGATCTTAGGAAACACTGTGCCTGCATTTGATGGTTCCTATAAAGATATTTTAACAGATTCAAATGTGCAGACATGTGGAAGGAAGGGATCCAAGCAGAGGCACTTCCTCTTGATAACAGTTGAAGTGCACTGTCTTACAGTGAGTTCTGCTTGTGTGAGTCCCTCCATAGTCAACTTCCCAGAAGCTCCTGCTTTGGGTTTTTATAGATAGTGTTTTATAGGCTTGATTGGTAGCAGAGTGAAAGGGAACCATCAGGGCCTATCAGATTCTTCAGCTTCCCCTCCTCCAAGGCATAGGGCAGAATCCATTTGGAAATGGGTATTTGTTCATCCTCTATGAAAGTGGAACAATTTAAAGTTAGACTTTCTATGATCTGCCCCGGGGTAGGAGTTTTAAGCTAGAACAGTGGTCAGAATCAGTGAAAAATTGTGTGTATTCCTAATAGCCAACTGAATTTACTTATACCACTGCAGCTTTTTATTTTCATTACAGTTCACCATGAGAGTTCTGTCATGGAATGCCAATTCAAAGCTAGAGTCTACATACTTGAATGCATTTCTGTGTGATACAAACAGAATTTCATTATATTCTCAATATTTTAAAATCAAGATTGTCATATTTGAGACAAAATAGGTACTATCAAAATGGATCATCAGTGTCTTAAATTTTGTATTTGAAGTGTTTTTTTTAATGTATCACATTTCCATTTTCTGTTGGAAGAATAGTTTGTAAGAGCAACTGAAATTGCTCTTTTGAGTTGATTGTCTTTTAATTTTGTATTTTCTTTTATATATATAAATTTTTATTTAAATTAGAAACAATCGTATTTTACAGTTCCCTCTCCCTCCCATCCTCCCATCCCACTCCCCATCCACTCCCCAGGGAGTGTGAGGCCATCCTCCATGTGTCTAGGCTGAGAGAGCATCCCTCCATGGGGAATGGACTCCCAAAGTCCATTCGTACACTAGGGATAAATACTGGTTCCACTGCCAGGGGCCCCATAGACTGCCCAGGCCTCCTAACTGACACCCATGTTCAGGGGGCCTGATTCAGTCCCATGCTTGTACTTCAGCTGCCATACTGGGGTCCATGAACTCCCACTTGCTTAGGTCAGCTCTTTCTGTGGGTTTCTCCAGCTTGGTCTTGACCCCTTTGCTCATCACTCCTCCCTCTCTACAACTGGATTCCAGGAGTTCGGCTCAGTGCTTAGCTGTGCGTCTCTGCTTCTGCTTCCATCATGAATGAAGGCTCTAGGATGTTATTTAAGGTAGTCATCAATCTCATTATAGGAAAAGGGCATTTAAGGTAACCTCTCCATATTACTTAGATTCTTAGTTGGGGTCATCCTTGTGAATCCCTGGATATTTCCCTAGTGCCAGATTTCTCTTTAAACCTATAATGGCTCCCTCTATTAAGATGTCTCTTTTCTTGCTCTCCTCTATTCTTCCCCTGACTCAATCATCCCGATCCCTCATGTTTTCCTACACCCTGCCCCATGCTCCCAATTTGCTCAGGAACTCTTGTCCATTTTCAATTCTCCAGGGGACAATGTATGTCTCTCTTAGGGTCCTCCTTGTTTCCTAGCTTCTCTGGAGGTATGCATTGTAGCCTGGTACTCCTTTGCTCTATGTCTAATATCCATATATGAGTAAGTACATACCATGTTTGTCTGTGATTGAGTTACCTCACTCAGAATGATTTCTTCTAGTTCTATCCATTTGTCTGTGAATTTCAAGATTTCATTGTTGTTGTTTTCGCCCACTGAGTAGTACTCCACTATGTAAATGTACCACATTTTCTCCATCCATTCTTCAGTTGAGGACATCTAGGTTGCTTCCAGGTTCTGGCTATTACAGATAATGCTGCTATGTACATAGTTAAACATATGTCCTTTTTGTATGAATGTGCATCCTTTGGGTATATGCCTAAGAGTGGAATTGCTGGATCTTGAGGTAGACTGATTCCCATTTTCCTGAGAAACTACCATACTGATTTCCAAAGTGGCTGTACAAGTTTTCACCACTACCAGCATATCAATTCAGTGAGTTTTAACTTAGTAATATTTGTTGGTAAATACTAATCCTCCAACAGTATAAATTCTATTAGACAGTTTTATTTGTAACAATAGCACAACACTGACACTTTTCATTCCTCCTCATTTTAATTTTTACAGAGCACCTATGACACATGTTTTAGAAACAGAACATTTTGGTTCAAAGAAAGAATGGCTCTCAGTCCATCTGTATTTTTTCAAGAAAGTGAAAAAAAGAATGCAAATTGTATGGAAACAAAACAGACACAAACTGTTTCCATAGCTTCAGAAGACCCTCTTCAGAACTTATGCTTAGCATCTCAGGAAGTGCTTCATAAGGCTCAACGTAGTGGAAGGTCACGGTGTCTCCAATGTGGTGGCTCAAGGATGTTCTACTGCTACACCTGCTATATCCCAGTGGAAAATGTGCCCATTGAGCAGATTCCGTTTGTGCAGGTAAGAGGCAATTTTAAAAGATAGCTTATATATAATTGCCCGCTCTAATATATTTGATAAGCTTGGAAGTGAATTGTATTGATAATTTGACCCTATTAAAACTATGTCTTTTATCATGCATTCCTCCCACCAGCCACCTGGGTGCCGCCGCTGTCTCTGCCCCCAAATAACACATGAGACACTATATTAATTATGAACCTGTTGGCTATTTGCTATGGTCTCTTAGTGGCTAGCTCTGACTTATTAACCCATAATTACTAATATATATTTTTATAAGGTCTTATCTCACTGAGAACTCCAAACTTGCATTCTCTCCTCCAGGGATCACATGGCGACTCCTCCTGTTGACTGCATTTCCCAGAATTCTCCTCAACTCCTAGTCCCACCTACCTTGCTTCCCTATTGGCCAACAGTGCTTTATTTATCAACCAACCAGACAACATGTACATAGGAGGACTTCCCCATCAAAATCTCTTTCTTGTTTGAAATGAATTATGTAATTTCAATGACATTAATTAGTTTTAAAAAATTAATAAAGACGGCTTAATAGTCTCACTTGAAGAAGCTTCATAACTTTAAGTCTTTGTAAATGATCCTTGGGAAAACATTATAGGTAGAATCACAGTGGATGTTTACCTGAAGTTTGGTGACTTTCCCCATCCGATATAGAATGGAGCAGAAGGCCATGACCTATGTTAAACTAAGATAAAGTGTAAAGGCCTGGGGCCTACACATTTGACCGTGTTATAATTATAGTGGTTTCAAACCACTTGGAGAGCTGATTTCAATTGATAGCTTTTTATGGTCTGTGGTATTTATCAAGACTTTTATAGGTAAAGTGTTCATAGGTCATTTATATATAAATAATTTACTTTGTGTTAGCTTGTCTAGCATTGACGCAAATGTGAGAAGTAAGCCAAATAATTATATTCAATGGGATCGGCATGTATTAGGACTTTAGAGAGTTTCAATTCTACACTTAGCACAAATGGGCTTGAATGTTACTTAGTATGACATTGTCTCAAAAACATTAAAAAGACTTTTTTCTTAAGGTTTGTTCCAAAAAGGATTGCAGATCAAAAAGTGACAGGTTGTATTTATAGACCTACTACTTTGATAGAAATTTAACAACAGGATTATTTCCAAAGCAGTGGCAGTACTCACCATTTACTAGAAATACTTAAAAACAATGCCAATTATTTGGTCAACTATATAGTTTTCTAAAGAGTATATTTTAGTGCCTGTGTGTAAAATTTGATATGTTAATATATTAAGAGAAATAGGAAGTCCAATGTTGTTTCTAAATTGTACCTCAGTTTTTTTATATATATTCCAAATAAGCAAATATTAGTTTATTCAATGTTAACTTGGTATAGTTATTTTCTTATGGCTTGTAAGTTAAAAGGCACATTCCTTATTAAAAAATATGCTGATTATACCTTGAAGTCTGCTACAACAAATTAGAAAAAACAATGGAATTATGTTTACACACAGGGATGAAATGGGATAGTGGTGTTGGAATCTTGGTTGGACACTGTTTGAGGTACTTATTTGTACTGCATTCCTTTGAGATATACTATTTATAGCATCCTGTCCTCACATAATTGTTCAGAAAGAAAAGAAAGGAAATGTGGTTTACTTTGTAGTATGCAGCAACTACTTCTTTAAAAAGTAGCCTTGGGGGCACCATTAAAACATCTTATTCTTCACATGGCAGTCTCTACTAATGCGGTTCCTCTCTGGGTGCCGAAGGTAAGGCACTACAAGACTCTATCATGCTACCTCTTGTCTGATGCCTTATCTCTGCTTATGCTGTCCCATTTTAGAAGCCCAGTCTTGGCCCTGTGACCTTGAGGCTGCCTCTCCACATTAATCTCATCTTTAATGGGATAGGTTGAGCTATAGAACAAATGATAAGCAGTATCTTTATGCATTTTCAAGTCATTATTTTGAGTTAAAGATGCCAAATGGAAAGATCATATTTTATTATTCTAGCTATGTAAGACCCCAGAAAAAGTAAACTGAAGTGACAACTGGCTAGTAGGAAAGGAAGAGGAGAGGGTACTAGAAGACCTTTTGGTGGTAACAGATCATTTTCTTGAGTGTGGTAGCTAGTTTGCAGGTATAATATATACATTAAAATCTATTAGAATGTAGACGTAGCATATTTGATTTTATGCTGGAACAGTTTTCTGTCCCAGAGTAAAATGGTTGCTGCTCAGGACCTGTTCATAGAGCCCTTACCTTTGCATGAAATGAGGGTCTTGAAGATGGTAGATGTACTTACCAAACAACAGAGTCTGAAATGAAGAAGCTTAAATAGTAAACAAAAAATTAGCTCAAGAAATCCAAGAAAATTATTGTTTTTGAACAGAGGAATTAATATGTCCTTAATTACGGGAAATAACTTGAGCAAGTATTATTGAGAAACAACTTTTATCAAGTGTAACTTGAGAAGGGTTATATAAAGGACTAAGGCTTATTCTGTTGCTGTTTTTCCTATTGACAGGTTAACTTGTGCTGTGAAAATTCATTGCCAAAGATCATAAAACTTAAAGTAACTTTGACTTGAGAAATGTATGAGGAACAGGATTTCTACTTGAATTTTAAATATGAATTTTTACCCAAGCTTCCATTTCCTTTGAAAACAGCATAAAGTAATCCTAGAGTTCATAGAAATTGCTTTTTAAATGTCCTTGCCATGGACTAATATGTATATGACTTAAGTAAGGTATCCCTGGGTCATTATTTTAAGAGCAGATTCCATGTTGCCTGTGCTGAAATAGTTGCTCAGGTACATGGTCAGCAAGGAGGAGGCCATTGGGGTTTGATGTATGACTTACTGTCCTTGGTACTCTAGGTTAAATGGCATGGTCTCCAACTGTAAGTGTACTCATGGGAGCTCAGTGTGAGCTTGGTGTGTATCTTCAGATGTTTTATATTGACATAAAAGTCAGCACTTCATACTTCTTTTGTTCATTTGTCTTTTTACTTTAGCTTCCATTGAAGATCGATATCATTAAGCATCCAAACGAAACAGATGGCAAAAGCACTGCTGTGCATGCAAAGCTCTTAGCACCCAGCTCTGTGAGCATCTACACTTACCCGTGCATTCCAGAGTATGAAGGGAAGGACCACGAGGTGGGTGGCTTGGAACTCAGAACCTTCTGGGCGCTTTAACTCTAGCTCCTTTCTGAACTTATTTAGACATGATTTAATCTTCTTAGCAATCTAGTGTTATGCTCATTTAATGCTAAAGGCATTTGACTTCAGTGATATCTTCACAGGATATGTTTCTATATAATATGACTTTATTTTGAAAGTTGTATTTCCAAATCACATCTGAGTTTGATATAGTAATATGTTTGTGTAATCTTCTCTGGTCAGTTAAATACCATTTATTTGATTAAGTAGAACACACTGTTACACTCTTTATACATTTTTGAGACAGAGTTTCACTGTGTAGTCAATGCTAGCCTTGAAATCAAGATCCTTGTTGTCTTAACCTTGTAGATGTCAGACCTTCAAATATGTTTCACAGTATCCACCATATTATACTATTTTATACTACCATCACTAATAGCTGTAATAAAAAAAACTATCACACTATTCCCTCCCCTACCTTATTTATTTTATCTTTCCTTATTATACAAGTGAAAATAGTGTTTAGTCATTAAAAAGTTTCCAATGGTTATTTTTTAAAAAGGATCATTTTTTTGCCCTTTTGTCTCTTTGGCTGGCCTGCAACTCTTAGGAAGCCCTGATTTCATGTCCCTGCATCTCTACTGCTGGGATTATAGGAGGATAGCACTACACCACAGAAATTTAACTCAAGGTACTGTTAACTTGGCTTTGTCAATCATTGAGTAACTTATTTTGAATTAACATCTCCAGGTACTATAATATGAATACATGCTAATAGGAATAAGCCAAAGCTTTACCATATATGGAAGAAAACAAATAATAGAATCAATTTAATGCTTATTTTTAGACATTCAGCATCTCTTTTTCGTAGAGTTTTAAGCCAGAATTTATGTTGAAGATCACAGTAGCATGTAACTAACTAGAGTTTGTTTGTTTTAGGTTGTACTTGTTTTTCCTGGACCTCAGTCCATCTCGATAAAAGATGTTTCTTTTCATCTGAAAAAGAGGGTTGAAAGTAAAGGTAGAAGCAAACCTAATGACCTTGATATGCCACCTTTTAAACTGAAGAGAACCGAGGCGGAGGGAGGCTCTGGTTTGAATGAGAGCATGCACGAAGGCCCATCATTGAAGAGAGTGGTCTTCATTGACAGCACCTGGAGCCAGACAAACCAGATAGCCTCTGATGAGCGCCTCCGGGGTAAGAAAATGTGTCTAGGGACTTTCCTCCCCTGACAGCTTTTATTTAGAAAAGCTTCCAATGTGTAGATCCCTCAAAAGAAAAGGTACATTTAGCCTTCACACTTGCTTCTTTTCTCTTCTCCCTTTCTGTATTACGTGTGCATTTATGCATCTATGTACATTGTTGGGGGAACTGTTTTAAAGTAAGCAATGGACTTTGCAAAACTGCACTAAATACTGTTGTTCTTTTTAATAATGACACTCCTATGTAATAAAACCAACACCATCACCACTCTTAAGAAAGTTAACAGAACTTGTACAATATCTAACATACAGTCCCTCACATTTTCTGATGCAAACAATAATGGCTTTTGTGGACTTTCCCCCAACACAGCATTTAAACTCGAATTTTTGATGCTTGTATAGCTTTAGTCTCTTAATCTAGAGCAGTTTTCTAATTTAAGTTTTCTTTAATTTAGATTTTGGTAAAGTGATCAGCTTGATTGTTTAATGACTAGACTCAGTCTAGATATTTTGGTTAGCATACTTTTTAGATTATTTAAAATTTATGTGTGTATGTGTACATGTACATATAGAAGCCTGTAAAGGCCAGAAGAGGACATCAGATCCCTTGGAGCTGGAGTTGCAGGCAGTTGTGAGCTTTCTAATGTGGGTGCTGGGGACCAAGCTTGACCACTGTTAAAGTACCCACAGTTAGGGTACTTTAAAGAAAGAGTAGATCCAGACTTGTCCAGTTTGTATCTGTTGTTTGTTATCATTATTGATAGTATGTCCTTTCCCTGTCAGGTCATCAATTGTTTGATTGAACAATTCATGCAGGGTGATTTGAAGTTGTATACTTACTGTTGCATTAAGTTGGGGGGCATATAAACAAGTTGTTCCCATATTTATAATGATGCTAGATCATTCCACCATAAAGTTTATTTTCCTTTAGTATATTGGAGTAATGCTTTCAGGCTATAGACTTTCTCAACAGTGTTTGATTGATCCATGAATCATCAATCAATCGTTAAATTGAGAAGTGAACAATGGAGAAAGTTTAGTCATGTTACTTATTCGTGTATTAATTGGCCTTTTTATTGCTGACTTCCGTGGTTTGTAGTAGTACTGGCCTCAGTAGATACAGCAAGATATCTCAAACCTACTTTGACTTTCTTCCTGACACAAACTTGGAGTCATCATTTTTTTTTAAAGACCTGTGATTCATTTTAGTAGGATCTGATCTTAAAAGCTATATTGTGTAAATTAGTTACTACATGCCATTTCTTCATTGGACAGAACCAAGAAAACAAATAGGTATACATATTATGAGTTCACAGTGGTAGTCTAACTCAGTTTAATGTTATAAGAATTTATTTTTCTTTATTTCTATCTTTATGCCTTTTATGAAAAAAGTTCCCATATGTGTGTTTATGTGTATATATAATATATCCCCCCATCTCTACTCCATCTCACCAAAGGTGTTGGGATTATAGCCTCAGGTCCATGCTCTTGAGCAGCAGGTGTTACCCACTGAGCCATCTCCCAACCTCAGGTCCTCATGCACTTGTATAGTGTTACTCACTGAGTCATATCCTGGTCCAGTATGCCTTTTTTGCTTGAGTGAAATGTTGAGCTTCTAATAAGAGTTTAAAAGTTACTGTCCTTGCCCACGTAACACAGCTGCTATCCTGAAGTTCAGGAGGTCATACTGTTTTTCTTGTTTCTTTGTACCTTTCTTAGTGCTTCCAACATCCTTAGTGGTTTCTCTAAAAGCTTAAGGAGTTTTCCAGTTACTGAACAGCTTTGTGATTAGAAGGCAAGAGAACTACTCAGCTGGTATTGCATGGTTGCCAAAAGGTCCCTCAAGAAAAGACGTACTATAGTCTTAATCATTTCCAAACTAAAGGAAGTACAAAGTACAATGCATTGGCTTAATGAATTTGTTAGCTAATTAATTAGTTTGTACCTGTGAATCACAAGACTTTGAAGACTTTATTGTTGTTTAGTAGATGAATCCATGCTGCCCTGCGCTTTGAAGGCGTGAGAGATCACTGCCTGCCACAGCCCCTTGTCCTGATACTACAACAAGCTACCCTGCAGTCTGAAGATTTGTCTGGCATGTCTTTTCTTATTATTACCTTATATGGAGATTTCTAGGTTCAAACGAAAGAATACAAGTCCCTGAAAAACCTATAAATGGATTTATTTTGGTACTATTCAAAGTCAGTCTGTTTAGGTTTGTCTGAAATGAGATTTGTATAAAAGATTGGCTCCTCCTTTCTGATTCCCATAGAAAGCACGCATCTCACTTCTGTGCTGGCTCACAACCATGAAATGGGTCTCTAAACACAACTCTCTGCATGTCCTAATTCAGCTCCTGCCTCTCCTGACTCCTCAGGAATCACGGGGCAGGCCATAAGCATAGCCTCTATGTTTGAGAAAGATTTCTGGATAAACCAAATTGCCTCTATAAGAAATGCCCCATGTTTGTGAGCAATCATGGGCTTTAGATTTTAAACACTTTCTCATTTGGTTAAGCTGAACAAACCATGCTTCAGCTCTCAGATGTGTGTATTAGAAGTTCTGCCTCTGACTGCTCAAATTAAGGATCACCATAGCAGGCTGGAGACATGGCTTGGTGGTTAAACCTTGGATCCAGTTCCCAGCACCCCACATGTTAACTCATGACCACCTGTAACTCCAGTCCCAGGGGATCCAACACCCTCTTCTGAGGCATGCACATGGTACACACTCATACATACGTACAGGCAGACACTCGTACACGTAAAATAGAGCAAATAGAAAGTTACCTTGCTAGTGAAACAATTACTTTGCTAAAGTTTACAGTGACAACAGCTCTGGACATTTCACTAGTATCAGAATAAAACACTGAAAGGTCAGAGTTCTTGGTGTACTCATGTTCAATCTACCTAAAGCCAAAGTACAGTGTGGGATAGCATTCTGGATGATTCATCAAAGGGCACTGGGAAAATGTGGAGGACAGATGGATTCCAGATTATTATCAGTGGACTGTCCTGTCTTCCACACTCAGGCAGCTCTTTCCCTTCATTTTTGACAACACTGATACAGTGTTTGAAATGGTACTTTTGTTTGTGTTTTAAACACTGTCATTTCAGGCTCTGTGCATACAGTCATTTATCAGCTTACATTAGTGGATGCAACACTGAAGCTGTCATTCACTGAACTTGTTTAATGCAGTCAATGCCCTGGCTATGGTGGCCTAATTGTTAAGCTCCTGGTCGCATGATGACTGGCATCTGTTCCTCCCTGCTACCCCCAGCATCTCAGCATTTTGATACACTGTACATTGCCACACTGAGAAAAGATGGAGATGACATAGAGCCCATTTATGTTTGAGAGTTCCGTCAGTCATTTATTCTCAGTACTTCGACCAGATATTCATCTCTGCATTGACTCTCAACAGGAGCTTCCCCAGGCTATGACTAGAAATCTGTTTGACGTGTTCATTTAGGGAAAGCACAGTAGTGTCTTCTTCCCTTTGGACATGCCTTCCCAGCCATAAGCTTTTGACCAAGTGTAGAGTATCAAGTGTGTGTTCTCTCCCTTGGAGTGGGCCTCAGATTCAGTCACAGAGAGGTTGCTTAGCCTCCAAACAGTTATGCCACTATTGAATCAATAGGTATGTCTTGCTTGGCAGCTTGATATTGAATATACATGGTCTGTGGTGAGTGAGCAGCACCCTCCAGCCCTATGAATGCTAGCATACTAGCCAGCGGACAAGAAGAGTTTCACTGTATAGCTAGCTGGGCTGGGCTGCTACTCACTGTGTAGCCCGTAATGGCCTCCAGAGCGCTAAAATCACAGGTGCGCACTACCACACATGAGCTTTTCTGTTTTTTTCTTTTTCCCTGAAATAAGTTTTAAAATGTTTTTATACTTTTATGTATTCCTTTTTAAAGTAATCCTATCTGAATTCTTTCAGAGAATTGTACATACAGCATTTTAAAAAGTTCAAAGCCGGGTGGACAATGTTTCTTGGACATGAGTTCAGTTCCCAGGACCAACATGATATAAAGCAAGAACTGACTACTTACTGTAGGCCTCTTCTGACTGCCACCACACACAGGCTATATATAGCATACACACACCACACATACACACAGAGAGAGAGAGAGAGAGAGAGAGAGAGAGAGAGAGAGAGAGAGAGAGAGAGAGAGAGAGAGAGAGAAAGTGAATTCGTTAAAAAGGCTCTTTTTTTTTTAAGTTCAAATATAAGCATTTGGTCTGTGGACCTGAAATGGTGGCCACACCCCTTTGGGTGTGGCTTCAGGCATACAGAAGTGGAAAGAGAGGAGCTTGACACATGACTTTCCTTTGAGGGCTCTTTCTGGTGGGTCAGCAGATTCCCCTAGGAAGAACAGGGAAATGTTCCAATGGTTCTTTGTATTTTTTTGTCCCCAATAAACACCAATATATCATGTTGGGTCTAGTGATAGAATTACATCGTTGCCTTCATTCAAAGTCAGCATTTAGCCTTTCCTTTCAAATACTTAAAGGACTTGCTACATCTATACTTCATTCAGCCTCCTCCTGGCTCATACTGCTACTGTTGTTCATTATTTCTGTCTGTCCTTTACTGTCAGTCCACAATAGGATCTCTACTGATTGCTGTGTATTTGGGATTATATAACTTTTGACCATTTTGTTGCTCAGTATTCCTTTTTCCCCTGCTTCCTTTGCTGAAACATAATATATCTTTCAAGAATTCCTTCAAGGGTCCTTTTGGCAGAGGTAGTGTGTGCTTGCCTGTGACCTCACTCCTGTCTCTGTGATACATTATTTTCTAGGTTCTCATTTTAGCTTGCTTATGGCTCTGTTGTGTAAAGAGTTCTGTGTAAAGTTGTTGCTGAAGATGTTTCATATCATTTTACTTATCAGTTCCTTACATAAAATGTGTCTCTCTTAGTTAATTTTAACTAGATGACCAAGTTGACAAATACCAAGGCACTTTCCTCCATACTTGTTCTGGTTGAGGCCCTGTGTTGCTCTCCCTATCCCAACGCTCTCCTTTCCTCACATGTACTCTTGTCTAGATATACATATGTAACAATTTGATGAGAGAGAATTCTGGTATTTGCCTTTGACAGTCTGGTGATGTCACTTTATGCATTGTTTTCCAGTTTCTTTACATCCAAATAGAATTCCATGGTATACTTACTACATTTTCCTTATTCATTGATCTGTTGATGGACATGTAGGACATGATTTTTACTATTGTATAAAAATCAGTGATGACCATGGATGAGAGACAATCCTTCTGATATGATAAGAAATCCATTGAGTTTATTCCCAGGAGTGGTATGGTGAGGCTGTGTGCTAGTTCCATTATTAGTGTTTTGGAAAACTTTCATTGTGATTTCGATAGTGGCTACACATTCACATCAGCAGTGAATAAGAGTTCCCTTTTCCAAAGCTCTCCACCTTGTAGAGATCTCTCACTTCCTTTGTTAGGTTATTTCTAGATAGCTGGTTTTGCTTTGTTTTGTTTTGGAAGCAATTATAGTGAAATATTTTTTCCTGATTTGTTTCTCTGCAAATCTGTTGTTGCTACATATGAAAGTCACTGGGTTCTGTATCCTTTGACTTTGTTGAGCATGTTTAATAGACCCAGAAATTCTCTAGTGAAGCCCATGGGGTGTTTTAAGTATAGAATCATATTGTCTGCAAGAAGCAAAAGATTAATTTCTTCCTTTCCAATTTTGATCCTCCCTATGTGTTTCTCATATCTTACTGCTGTAGTTAAAACTTCAAGGATTAAATAGAATAGGAATCAGGAGACTGGACATTCTTATATGTTCAAGATTTTAGAGGAAATAAGTGTTTTCCCTTGTTTAGTATAATTTTGGTTATTATTTGTCATATATAGCTTTTACCATATTGTGTTATACTCTGTTTGTTCTTGAGGTCTTTTATTATGAAGGCATGTTGAAAATAGTTAAGGATTTATACTGGTTTAGTATAGAGGTTCTCTTCCAAGATCCATGATTATGCTAGCCCTGGGTAGATGGCTATGTTTTTAGTATCAGGCATGATTTCTCTCTTCAGTGGCTTTAGTTGGTTACCACTAGGGTATGGGGGCCACTACTCTACCCTTAGGATTATTGTGCTTTGCTGGTTGTTGTGGTTCATAGACATCATAGCTGGGTAGGACTGTTGGTTGCTTCCCTCTTTTGGAAACTTACATGGTGTCTTCTGGTACCCTCTGTCTGAAGTGCATAGTAGCTTCAGCAGTAGGGACTTTTACCTTCCACCTCTGGGGGACAAACAAGGGCAGTAACAAAAACCTGTAAATGTTTTTGAGTCCCTTGGAAACATTGACCAGCAACAACTCAAAAGAGGGTTTCTCATGCCTGGTATTGGGGGTTTTATTAGATCTTTGGAGGGAGCATTGTCAGCCCAGATGAGAAAATTTTATTTGAACTATGTCTGTGTATTTATACACCTTATATGTGTTACAGGTATTTTAGGTAGGTAGTTAGTGGTATGGCTCCTTATAACTTGTTCAACATCCTTCCTGTTGTTTTACCTTCCTCCTCCTCCTCCTGTATTTGTCTCTCCACCTCCCTAGTTAGCGCCTACAACAAAATATAAAGAAAAAAAAAGGTGTGAATAAAAATGACCATTTCAGAAGAAAACAATCACTATCGATAAATTCTTTTTGCAAATGGATAATGAAGTTTTGTCAACAACTCAAAATTTTAAAAGGAACTTTAGATAGAAGCTAGCAGGATAAAAACCCTGAGATATAAGACTCTCTTGATTGTTGACTTTTTAATGTGTCTTACAAGCTCTGAGAACCAGAGAGGATGGGGATGCAGAGTCTCATTCTGTGCCCTGCTGTGTCTTTATGTACCACTGTACATTTAAATATTGCCCTGCTTAGAATTGGAATGGAAGGAACTTACCTGTACTTTCAAAAAAAATCCTTGATGTAATTAAATCATCATTGTGTATCAACACACATTATTGTACCAGTTATTATTATTGTCCTCAATAATAATATGATTGAGAAGTATTTACATGTTCTCTTTTTTGTTTGTTTGGCAGAGTTATTACAAGTTGAACTGAAAACAAGAAAAACTTGCTTTTGGCGCCATCAAAAAGGGAAGCCAGATACTTTCCTTTCCACAATTGAAGCTATTTATTACTTCCTGGTAGACTACCATAGTGACATGCTGAAAGAAAAGTACAAAGGACAATATGACAATCTTTTATTCTTCTATTCTTTTATGTACCGCTTGATAAAGAATGCCAAAGGCTCTGGAGAGAAGACAAAACCAACTCTCACCCATTAGTTCCGCACACTCTGCTTGTCATATTGCTCTGCTAATGTTCACAAGTTTGCAGTTGAGCCTGTTTCCCCTGGGGAAATAACCGTGCCCAGTGCCTGTGGGAGGATTTGGGAAGAAAGGTCCAGTCTTGTTCTTTTTTAAAGAGATGGTCCTAATTGCAAGACATAGTTCAGAAGCTATGTGCTCAGTTTGGGCATATCTCAGTTGCATTGTACATTTTAATATATTGTGTTAGATTTACATGATTGGCATTATATATGATTGGAGATTGTCTTATCTTTTCACTTATCTTCACCTTCAGCTTTGGACTTAAAGACAGAATCTTTTGGCAAAACATTGTTTGTTTGAGGTTAATGAAGAATTGGCAGAGGTAGTGTGTTGTGCTCTCTGTGTAAGTCTGCCCTTCCTCCTCTGCCTGGCCTCTGCACTAGGAGACAACTGTCGCATCACATGGTCCTGCCAGAGGGATAGATACACATATGACCTGTTTTAGCAAGTCAGGTGACCCAGGGCCAAGAGCACATGGCCCAACAGAATCTGGTATGTTTTGGTGTACTAGGCATGCCATAGGAGATGGAATTTATTTCTTCCAGAGTGAATAATATGTGGTTAAAGTAAATTTCTTCATGTTTAAAACATATCTTTAGCAATAAAGGTCAGCTTAAATTAATTTAAGTAGGAAAAAGTCTAGATAGCAATAAAGGTCAGCTTAAATTGATTTAAGTAGGACAAAGTCTAGATCGGGGTGGGGTAGGGTAGGGTATATGCTAAAGTTAGACTTCTCCGAGCCAAATCTATTGCCATTTATGCAGTTCTACAAGCCATCAAAGCAGTTAAAAGGTTGAAGGGAAAAGAGGAGAGAATGATCTTACACTCATTCACCCATCTCACAGCAGCCATAAGAAAGATGGCCCGCATGCCTTGCCTTGTTTCTCTTTGTATGACAAGCTCTAAAAATGGCCTTTCCTGCTGTTGCCCATATAATGGCCCTTCAGCCCTTCTTTTGCTCCTTGGCAGTACCCCTTACTCTGAATCTGAGCCATAAACATTTCCAAGACGGCTGTTTTTCTATGTTTGTGGTTTGGCTGTTGATATATAAATGTACATGGCTATGCTAACCTGCTGGAGGGCGCAACGTTGCCCTTTTTCTGCCCCTGTGCTCCTATGTAGGTCAGGACTTGACAACCATCTACCTGACTCCTGATATGTGGGCAAGGCGTGCCTTACAGCACTGACTGGAACTGTTTTACGGCATTGTTGTGCCAGTAGACAACCCATCTTTGGATACTGTATCAGATGCATCTCAAGCATCCAGGAAGGGTTTTATCCCCATTATTTCTTATACTCTCAATAAATGGCTTTGTCTTAGTTCCCATCTTATACACTAGCAATACCAGTAGGCTTTCAGGGTTCCCCGTGGCTGCCCAAAGGGCCTTGGGATATAACCTGCAGTGTTAGTGACACTGACTAGATTAATGGCCTAGATGTGCCTGGTACACTCCTCTCCCTTCAGTGGACTGTTTGCAGGCACTCAGCCTGCTCATCCTGACATGACCATTTGGTCAGGCAAACATACTTGCCAAGAGACTGACACTGTCTCTTCGTGGACTCCATGCCACAACAGCAGATGCTATCCAGTGATTTGTCAGTTTGCATTGGCTTCTACTTCCTAGTTCCTTTCTCTTTCAGTTTTACTGCCCAGGATCATGCAGTCTAATAAAGTTGCAAATTCAATCTTACCCTCAGACTCTCTCATGGAGGCCAGCTATTTTAGGTAGGATTTGGTCAGAAAAGCAGACCTGACTCAAAGTGTTAGCATACGTTTTAAACAAAGTATAATAAAGGATTGGGTTTTCCCTAAAGGTGACGTTACTGGGGGAGTAAGTCCGGGAGGATTGGAGCGACATCAGAGCTGCTGAGTACCCAGGCCTGACTGTACAGGCCTGTAAGGCTTTGGCTTGGGAAGCCTCTCCATCACTCCTCCACACATCCAGGCTGAGTGGCAGGGCCTTCTCAACCCATCTGAAATATTAAGTCATAGAGGAATTTTGCTTGGTCTTTTCTTTGAGCCCATGTTAATTTGGTCTTTGCCCCATGCCTGTCTTTAATAATCATTTTATTTGATCAAAAAGAATCTCATTTTCAATGCAGAATCCTAGGTTCTGTGCTTCCTCTCAGTTCCACCTACATGCCACCTCAGCTCTGAGTTTCTCTTCTTACAGTGCCTTATCTATTGCAGTGACTAGCAACCAGCTTCCTTGGAATCTCCCCAATTATCACAAGTACAGTAGATTCGTTATGAAAACTGATGGTTTCCATGTTATGGAAAGATGATCTATCAATGTTTGATCCCCAAATACTAATGGCTAAATAGCTCCAATGAAAACTATTGTTATTTAGTGAACTTTAATTGAAGATTATCAGCTGAAAAAAAATCATTGCCCATTCTTAAGAATCATTCATCACCAGACAATGGATACAGTCTACCATATGAAAAATGGAAGGAAAAGTGTTGAACACAAAGGAAAAAGACTAAGGAGTATTTTTAAGACAATTATTTATTAAAAATACAATTTGATAGCATGTAATAAAAAAGAGATCCTAGAAATTGAGGAACTACTGAAATAATTCAGTACATGAGTTGGAAGATAAAGTATCAGAACAGAAAATTCTAATTTCTGAATACTTGTTAGCCTTGTTAAATGTTGTAACTGAGATCATGGACTACATGTACATTACTGAATAAAGCAAACACAGCAACCTGAAATGTGAATGGCATTGCTTTAATTAATCACACTCTTTGTTGTAAAGAGGAAGATTGGGGACACACTATGGTAAATCACAAAAAATAAGCACCAGCAGGTGACAGGAAAAGCTTTATTAATATGTACATGTGTCCAGGTTATGGACTGTCAAGAGAAGCCAAAGCCTTCTTCAAACTTTTTAATAAAAATATAATTTTATTGTGTGTATGTGTGTGATTTGTAAGGGTGAGGGTCTGTGCAGCTGCATGCATACTTGAGTTGGATTATGTTCTCTTCTACCTTTATGTGGAGCCTCTTAGATCGGAAGCAGGTCATTATGTTGGTGTTTCAAGGGCCTTTACCCACTGAGCCTTCTCAGCAACCCTCCAAATTGTTTATAACCATAACATTTTCATATCCTTTTGAGTCTCTGGAAAAAACAACCTTATTTTACATATTGGTTGTGGGTAGTACTTTGTACTTGTAACATATTTATGATTTGTGTTGTGGAGACGTTTGATTCACAGGTGCTGTAATGGTCATACCTTCAGTTGACAAGAGTAATGTCTATCAGCAAGTATCTTAGTAATTCTGTCACTATTACTAGAGTCAATTATCTTTAACTACCTAGTCAGCAAGACAGTTTTGACCTTCTTTGCTAAAACTGTTTTATTTGTTTTTAAGACAGGGTCTCACTCTGTAGCCTAGGCTGGCCTGGAAATCACTACTTACCATATAGTCTTGAACTATCAGCAACCTTCCTGCATCAGCCTCATCAGTATTGGGATTATAAATGTGAGACAACACATTCAGTTCTGAAGGTCATTTCTTTTTTTTTGGGGGGGGGAGCGTTTCGAGACAGGGTTTCTCTGTATTGTTTTGGAGGCTGTCCTGGAACTCACTCTGTAGACCAGGCTGGCCTTGAACTCACAGAGATCTGCCTGCTTCTGCCTCCTGAGTGCTGGGATTAAAGATGTGTGCCACCAACACCCAGCTTGAAGGTCATTTCTAAACCTGGTAAGAGGTTGTTGGTTTTTTTTCCTACTTAAAAAGATCTCTCAAGGAAAAAAAAAAAAGATTGGAGATTAATCCAGGAGGTTCCTCAGAATAAATGTTTTGGAGAATGGGAATTGTAAGGATCAATTTTTAAATTCCTGAAACACTACACGATCCTTGAAGAAAGGGCAGAAGAAAACCAAGCTAAGGCAAAGAATTTCAGCCATGGATAGAGAGCATAGTTAATTTCTCCCAAGCAAGCATCAGGTCACGTGTAGAACAAGGTCAACATGAAACAGACATCTTAACACAATTAAGACTCCGGCAATGGCTTCAGAACTCAGTGTACAGGGTTTTGTGTGCAGTCACACAGTCTGTTGGGTTGGACATAAAGGCCTAAAGATTTATTTTCTGTATATGCAGATGATACTTAGGAAATCTGGAGGACATGTTAGAACAATGCAAGAGAAATCTAAAAGGGAAGAAAATCAGGGTAGTGGAGGGAAATTTAAGGATTCATCCATTCCACAAAAACTTTGGAGTATCTGCTATGTGTTAAAGTTTTGTGTAGGTGGTCCATATAGGATGCTGAATTCTAAGCACTAAAATGAAACAATAAAGGACAAACTGACTGGTAAACTAGTACATGAGAGCAGTACTAATTAAACAATATTGACCAGAATTTATGGTATGTATTATAGCAAAATGTCAGTTTCCTTCTTCAAGGGATGGTGCTTCCTGATTAAAGTGACAGTTGAATGTTCATGAGCTGAGGTTGGCTCAAAAATGGGAGAGAGTGTGTGTGATCTTTGCTGTAGTTGTGGTCACTGGATCTGGAATCTGCCTTGTAATATACATTAAGAAATGTTATAGATGGTGTCTTAATTAGGGTTCCATTGCTGTGATAAAACACAACCACAAAAATCAACATTGAGAGGAAAGGGTTTATGTCATCCCCCTCCCTTTTTTATTTAAGTTAGAAACAAGTTTGTTTCACATGTCAGTCCCAGCTCCCTCTCCCTCCCCTCCTCTCCCACCCTCCCTTCAGTCCCCCCCAAGCCCTTCAGTCCCCCACACAATCGGGTTTATGTCCCCTTACATCATGGAGTTCACCATGCAGGGAAGACAGGACAGGAACTCAAGACAGGAACCTGGAGGAGGGAACTGGAGCAGAGACCAAGGAGGAGTGCTACTTTCTGGCCTTCTCCTGCCTTGCTCTATTTGCTTCCTATACTACCCTGAACCACCTGCCTACGGGTGAACTGACCACAATGGGCTGGACCTTGTCATATCAAACGTCAATCAAGAAAAGAACTTATTGGTTTGCCTACTGTTTAATCCTGTGGTAACATTTCCTGGATTACGATCCCTTCTCCCCCAGATGAACCTACTGTGTATCAAGTTGACATAAAAACCAGCCAGCAGACATAGCTACACATCTGTATTACACCCTGGGAAACTGACAGATTGCCTTTTTCTGAAGACTCTTTAGGCCAGAATAGTTTGATTATACTGCATCCTTTTAAATTATATATTCACCTTACATTTGTTTTAAGACTCTTGACCTCATCCTTGGATTGTTACTAGGGTATTCATCTTTGTAGAAGCATTCCACACAAAATATATTTGGAAAAGCTACAATTTTAACTGATGTTATAACTATGTTATCTATGTAATAAGCTTTGAGTTTACTCTGCCAGCCCCCCCCAAAAAAAGATGTTGACCAGAGACCTGAGTGAAAGTCGGATGAACTGTGCCGATAATGAATAGCCTCAGAAAGGGAAACCTTGTGTGCAAAGAACTGGAGGTATTGGTGTATGTGGCATATTGGAGAATAGGCTTTGGACTACATGTGGCATGAAAAAGTAGTAGAGTTTGAGACCATAGGAGCCATAGTAAACCAAAGCCGTCTTGGTGGACCAGTGAATTTTATTGGGGGTTACTAACAGGAGAATGGGCAAGGGGTTACCTATACAAGCAGAGATGATTCAAAAACAACTATCCCCAAAAAGCTCATCATGACACAATTGATAACTAAAGGAAGCTTCAACCCTGGAGAGCTTTGTGACTTGTGGGTGGCTGGACAGACACACATACTACATTTTCATCATATTTTCTCCTTCAACTCATCCCAGATCCTCCTTGCCCACCCAACTATCATTCATAATCAATCCTCCCCCTTTTCTCTCCAAAACCAAAGAAAAAAGAAATAAAATCAAAACAAACCAATAATGATGATGATGATGATGATGATGATGAAGCCTAAACAAAAATACAACAAAACAAACAAACCTACATGGCAAGTTATTCCTGTGCATGAGGCCTGCTCTGTCCTAAAGGAAGTTAAGCCACCACTTGAGCTGACAATGTTTCCAAAGAATCATAGACTAACAAAAACCCCAGTACCAAGCATGAGAAATGTTTCAAATGGTCAGAGTAGTCCAAGTGACTCCCCAAACAATACAGACAGTAAATGTAGCCATGGATGCCTCTCAGGAGCTAAGGGTAGGCCCCTATTTGCTGATGACAGCAGACATGTAGGACACAGGACTTGGATGACTGGAGCTGGATCTGACCTCAGAGCCTCTTGTTAGTTCTATGATTACAGCAATTAGCCAAAAGAGGGAAGCAATTAAACAGTCCTATCCAGCTGCAACACACAAACCACGACAATTACCAGCATGGAAAGATACAATAAGTAGCACTCACATAGGTGTAAGACCCACTCAACAGGAGGGAAATTGTGTCTGGTACTTGAAACCTTGCCAGCTTCCTGGGGTTAGTGAGAACATGGACCTTAGTAAAGAATCTACTGCCTCCACCTTGCCAGCCCAGGCAAGTATATAGAGAAGCCTCTCTCTTTTTTTTTCTTTTTTTTTTGGTTTTTATGAGACAGGGTTTCTCTGTATTGTTTTGGAGGCTGTCGGACCAGCCTAGCCTTGAACTCACAGAGATCCGCCTGCCTCTGCCTCCCTAGTACTGGGATTAAAGGCATGCGCCCTGAACCTAAAATTGGAGCCTAAAAGCTAAAAAGGACCAGAGAAAGAAACACTGTCCCTGAAATCAGAGCCATCTCTGCCCCTGACACAAAAGCAACCCATCCCTGAGCAGGAAAAACTGACCAATCCCAGATTAGAGATGGGTTAATCAAATTAACTGGATTAATGGCATGTCTCCCACTTCTAGATCCGGATTAAAGTTATGTCTTTTCCCCTCTCATCTGCATTAATGATGTGTCTTCCTACCTCAAAGATCCAGATTAGTAGTGCATCTTCCTACATTGAATTAAGCAAAAAGCCCTCACAGATATGCCCTCCATTTTGGGGTTGAGTTAATTCCAGATGTAGTCAAGCTGCCAACCAAGAATAGCCATCATACTTGAGAATACTGTGTCTTTTCTTGTCTGTTGCTTTCTGGCCACAAGGAACAAAAAGTGTCCAGGCAGCTGATGTAGCTTGCAGCTTTTGTTTTTCACAGGAGGTTTGCCATATTGCCTGGCAAAAGTGTGTCTCCTTTTGAGATCAAGCCCTTGCATAGTATAGTGCACAGTTCAGAGGTTTGAAAACAGGAAGTTCAAAGGGAGTACTAGCCAGCTACAGTACAATAGTGGCATGACTATTGTGGGGATAACCAAGTGCTTTATAGTTAACTCTGAGATCTGTTTGAGAGAAACAAACTCATACCTAATATTATAAACCTGGCCTAGATACTGTGTCTGGGAAGGTCAAAGACAATAGGGGAGATACTATTATTTTGCTAAGTGGATATGGGACCAAGCTATCTTCTAACTATTTACATGTATACCCATGGATTACCGTTGATATCAGCTTTCATCAAAGAAACTTCTTTGGTCAATACAAAGACTTACAATGGATTGGTGAAAGCGGTGAATACATAGCTGTGGATTTCTTGGCCTAAGTGGGAAATCTATAATTCCCCACACCGCCACTAAAGCTCAGGAATCACGAAAGGGCAGATACAAAGAATGTAAGATTCACAGTCGTGAAGAAGCAATGCGAAACTAATCTCTTCACACAATTTGTTGTCAGAGATTTCCCACACTGTGACGTATGTACTCATTGTATCAAACGTTTGCTGCTGTAACATTTTTCTTCTTTAGTTTCCTTTTATTAAGATTTATTTGTGGCCGGGCAGTGGTGGGCATGCCTTTAATCCCAGCACTTGGGAGGCAGAGGCAGGCGGGTCTCTGTGAGTTCGAGGCC